TTTTTCTTAAAAAACGAGAGCTACAAATTTTTTCTTTCCACAACAAAAACACTATAATTAATGCCGTAGTTAACTTTTCCAAATTCGAAAAGTGTAGTGCTAACTTGACACACGTGGGGGCATAGATCTCCAAAAAGTGTCAATTTGACACTTTATTCCCACAACGGTAACACTGTCTTAGACCTTTCGAATTGTGTTTACGTAAATTAAAAAAAAAAATAATTTTTGTTCACTTGTTTCGCCTTTTTTCAACTTTGGCGACGATTGCTAAAAGCGGCCATACTACATTGTCCTCAACTGATTCAAAGGGGATAATCCATTTCTAAAAAAAAATCAATTAAGTTCTGGCGAATTATCTTCAATCCGAAATAAACTTACAGTTTTATAACAAAACCCACAAGAAATATTCAATTTTAAAGCCTAAATTAAACCGAAGAGTCAGACGTATTTATGTATGTACATTAGGGTGGTCCAAAAACAATTAAGTAGTTAATTACAAGTTAGTTGACATGTAATGCAGAGGAATTCAGGCCTGATGTTTTTTTGCGGCCATCGCTCCATAAAAGTATTTAGCTTTTTTCGAAAAATATACAGTTGATGGTTGGCACTAGTGTGCACGTAAACAGATTAAAGTTAGATATAAGTTAACGTCACTCCCTGCATGTATTATTTAAAGAAAAACAACAACATATGCATATATATATGTATGTACGTATGTATTTATTAGTTAAAAGTCGAATTTTTTTCCTTCTTCTTTTGGAAGTTTCAAAGTTTTCACAAACTCGCAACAAAAAAAGTTTATTGGAAACTCAAGACTCCATTGTGTAGAAGGGTTCCTAAAAAGGAGCATCCGCTTATGGTGACCCATAATTAATATGTATTCGAAATGAAAATCAAAATAACTAATTAAATAACAAAAAAAAGCATAAACTATTATGGTGTTACTTTCATAGCTTTATTTATACTTAACGACAACTTATTTTAGGCGATTTCGAATATAATGCTTTGTTCATATTTTGTAATTCGACGCTTTGAAACACAATGCTTTGTACTTATGCAAAGCAACATACGATTTCGCAGTCAGCCAAACCATCTACATACTTATACATATGTACATACTATGCATATTCAAATTTCCAGAAAAACGTCCAGAGATTGATTAAGAACGACAACGTAGTCCATGATGGTCAAATTATTTCCAACGCTGCATACAGATACTTACATACATACTTAAAATCCTCCAGCACAATTATTCAACTTTTACCAATTTTATGGGTAAATGAATCAATTTGGATGGCTACTCATAACTATTATATACCTTGGTGTTTTCTTCTGTTGGGCCCTCTTTTGGATTATTTTTAGGATCCTTCACGTCCAAAAGCGTGTCTGTCTAATTTGGATGACTCGTTTGGCGGGGTTTGGTATAGTGATGAAACTTCTTTTTCTGCATCGAAACCTTTAGGCATTGCATAGCGAGGAGCGAAATGTCGAAAAAAATATACCCTGGGTCATCTATCTGGTCGCTCCTCGTGTCTCCCCTCCGCCACGCTGTAATTGTCAACCACTTTAACGTTCACTTCGCTGGGCTTAAACTGCTGCACAACCATACTGGCTTAAAACCCATCCTTCCCAACCGAGGTAGCAGGCAGATCTCTTTCAAATTTCCTGAATTGGCCACTGGGCGATGTGACGATCGCAGGCCAGTCTGTGAAGACCACCGGCTCGTAGAAAGGTGTCAGACGGCTTAAATCGTCAGCCAAACTCAAGAGCAATGGTGGATTCGCCATTATAACGTTGATTTGGTATTTATTTACTTTCGCTTAAAAACGGTATGTAAAACACGGTACCTTTTGAAAGAACGTTAACTTATTTAGCTTCTGTTCCAAATCTGTTCCAGTACCAGTCAGATTTTCGCGATTAAGTCAGATGGTGTTTCAGTATGCAAATTTATAATATATTCAGTAATGTATTCCTGTAATTTCTGTATGAATCCAATAAATCTGACTGGCACTGGAACAGACTAATTGTGTACGCTTATTCAACGCTTTGATTTGCTTGCAGCTTCAAAGCCAACTACGCTGACCGCTGCGAGTGCCGGTTTTTATATGTCTTTTTCATGGCACGCCGTGGCTGACCGAGAACATTTCGTTGCGTTTGTGCGATATTTGTGCGTATACATATACATAGGTACATTCGGGTGACCCAAGAATGCATTGTAACAATTTTTTTTCTTGAAAAAAAAACAAGGATTTGCTCTAATACCGAAAAAGTAAATATGTACGTATTTTATATTTTCGAAAATTTTAATATTTACAATGCAAGGAAAATGATAAATTTTTGAAAAATCAAGACATTAATCAGCCAGGGTTTTAAAAAAGTTAACATAAACTACCGGGACTTAAAAGACTCTCTCCAAGTAATTTGTCCCATATGACTTTAAATTTTATGAGCTCCCATACAGCACTTCCACAAAGTTTCCCCTTCTGTGAAATTTGGGGCATTAATGTGCGGGGTCCGGGTGCTCATTATTTAAAGTAATATATGCCAAATTACTAAGAACAATCCTTTTTAAATCCTAATACATAGTTTAACGCTAACCTTTTTAAAAACCTGGCTAATGATCTTGATTTTTCGAAAATTGATCAGTGGAACGTGTTAAGCTGGAATCCAGCTCTCAAGAAAAATCAAAAGAAATAATTTTCAATATTTCTGTTACTTGAAAAAGCTGTAAATTTTCTTGATGAAATAAATATACGAGCCTTTTTTTCTTGGGAGCTTCAAACTGACTTAAGAAATTTTGATAAAACAAAAATTTCTTTTCCATTTCTTGTGCGTCATTTTATATGAATTTTTTCGTTTGTCTTGAGAGCTGGAAACTACCCTTTAACAGTAAAATTTTCGAGAAAAGAATTCGTTTTTCCTTTTTTGGCATTAGAACAAATTCGTTTTTTTGCTTCTTTCCATAAAAAATACTTTTTTTGTGCCACCCTAATGTATATACATACATATGTATTATACATGCATTTTCTCGCGCAAGAACAACCGAAATTTCTTTCCCTCTAGAAAGCGTCCTGCACATACAACATACATAACTACATACTAGGGATGTCAATTTTCGGGGTTTTGTCGATCCCGGGATTTTCGAGATCTGAAAATACAATCCCGGGATCCTGGGATTGTCCCGAAATTCAGGCAAAAGTGCAACACATCTGTGATCATCCTATTATAGTATTTTAAATCAGATTGATATAACAAAAAAAAAGTACAATTTAAAAACAAACATAAAATTTGACAAACATATATGTATATAAGTACATATGCTCATTAATTTATAACATAGTTTTTGTACTACAAGTACAAATGCATATACGGTCACTCCGAGAAATATTTTGCATAGATTGTTTTTTTGCAATATTCAGAATATTTTTCATGGGATCCCGGGATTGACATCCCTACTACATACATACATATGTAGCTTGTTTATTAAAGGCGAAGTCAGCAAGATAATTTGATTTCGAGAGATTTCGCTGGTTCTGCTACTATATAGGCTTACGAAATAACTACTGCTTGGTCAAAATGTTTACGATTAAAACCACGGTTGCCAAGGTTGGTTATTTGCAACCAAACTTTGTTGTTTTTCTTTTATTTTTTTTTCTAATTTGGTTGTTTGGTAGTTTTTTCTCTGGCTTGGTTGTTTTTTTTATTGGAAATTAGCAATTTTTTCTTTACAAAAATGAATAAATGAATTTTTCCAATTCCTATTTTTAATGTAACATGTTTTATATGCCCATTAAATGTAGGAAGCAAATTTTTACATCACATTTCTTAAGCCCCAACCCCTATGACGATGCTACTATAGTCGAAGATATCACATATAAATTTTTGTCCTGATTGGAGACGGTTAAGGCGTGTCGCACAGGGGACAAAGTTCAGATTCCTCAATGGAGACTCGAAAAAATTAAAATAATTTTTTTTCATCTAATACCAAAAATCTATACTACTTTAGTCGAAGATATCATATATAAAATTTGGCCCCGCCTGGAGTCGGTTAAGGCGTGTCGCACAGGGGTCAAAGTTCCGATCACCAAATGAAAACGTTTTAACCGACTGAAATCGGCACCAAAATTTATATGTGATATCGTCGACTTTAATGATATCGATTTTGGGTATTGAATGAAAAAAATAATTTTAATTTTTTGAGTCCCCATAGAAGCATTTGGCCTTTGTGACACGCCTTAACCAACTCCAATCGGGACCAAAATTTGTATGTGATATCTTTGACTACGGTAGTATCGATTTTGGGTATTAGATGAAAAAAAAGTAAATTCAAATTTTCTTGAGTCTTTTTAGAGGAATCGGAACTTTGCCTCCTGTGTTACACGACTTAACCGTCTCCAATCGAAACCAAAGTTTATATGTGATATCTGTGACTGTGGTATTACCGATTGAGAGGGTGAGACTGAAAAAATCGTTCATTTGATTTTTTAAGGAACACGCTAATGCACATATAAAAAGTAAATATGTTTTGAACGCACAAGTATTTGAATAATTTTGGTTTTCCGAAATAGCAGCTACATTTTCCACAAAATTTTTACTAAAAAAACGACATCAAGCTCAATAAAATTGTTGAATTTTTTTTGTAATGAGTTTTGCTTTTTGCAATAGATACGTGGAGAACAAATTTGGTTTTTATGCATTTGGTTTTTTTCAGATTTTGGTTGGTTATTTTCGTAACAAGTGGTAACCGTGATTAACTTGTTTTCAAGAACACTTGCATGTTTTTATATTTGTATGGCTGCATATGTAATAGGTATTATCAAAAAAGGAAACCTATTCATATGCGAAAAAATAGATAAACTTGTTTATTTATTGAGGCAATCTAAGAAGTCTGTTTTTTTTTCTTTTAAATACAAGTACTTTTTGGAGCTCATATGGCTTTATGGCTTTGGTTTTATGGCTAAGAATCTAAATGATTTTGAGAAGGTAGATATAGGGCGTGTTTTATTTGACGTAGAATACGTCTTACGTGCAGTGTTGCCAGAGAAAGTCCCCTAAAAATCTTAAATTTTTCCATAAAAATCTTCAAAATAAGATTTTAAAGCTAAAAAAAATCTTTTCTATCCCGAAAAATATGAATTTAAAAATCCCTAAAAGGAAACACAAAATTCGATATTGGCTTTAAGACTGTAAATATCCCTTATTATGTTAGCTGAAAAAACTACCAATTTCAAGTTATAAAGTCCTTTTTATAGCAATTTAAACTTAAAACGAATATTGCCTCGTGTTATCACAAAATTTGTTGCACCGTTTCAGTGGCGGATCCAGCGGGGGGTTGTGGGGGTCAAACTACGTGTCAGTCAGTGGCGGACCCACGGGGGGTGTTTTAATATGGCGCATATGTATGTATAATATGGCATCTATGTATTAAAACACCCCCCGTGGGTCCGCCACTGACTGACACGTAGTTTGACCCCCAAAACCCCCCGCTGGATCCGCCACTGCACCGTTTACATATGTATGCATTCACTGGCGAAAATATAAATAGGGACCCGACATTTTGCAAGTTTTGACCGACTTCAAAAAAGGAAGTGGTTATCAATTCGTGCGAATATTTTTTTTTATGTATATATGGTATCTTTATCGCCAAAAACGAACCAGTCCGATAGTAACTGGATCCCCACCAGTCCAAAATCAGCGAAATGTAGTACTTTTAAAAACTTTTTTATTTCACTTTTTCCATTAGAAATCTATATCTAAGGTGACGAATTTAGAACTGGTTCGAAACAGTAGAAAAAGAAATGCAGAACGAACTAGATCTTATCTGTCGAATTTAGAAAAAGGGATTTTTGAAAAGTCTTTATTTCTAAACTACTTATAAGGTTGCCACCTGTTTAAAAAGTCAAAATCAACTTGAATCGAGGGGTGCGACCTAAAAAAAATTAAAATTGTTCCATATGGTTAAGAACTACCGTAATGTACATATTAAACAATTTACTGCTTTGACGGTTTCTTTTATCCTCCTATTCGGCTTTGTTTGCTTTTACTTGAGAAATATCATCGTCGATAGGACGGCGCTATCTTGTATTCTATAATTCTTGACTTTTCAATGAGTAAATATACACTAGGCGACAAACGAAAGTGTACGCCTTGTTTTAATATAATATTCACAGTTATTTTCATGAAGCATTTTTTACATTAATTATTTACGTAAATCAAAGCCTCACACTTTATATAAAGTTCACAAAAATTCAAAAATTCATTATCTCTAGAATGCTCTCTAGATGCAACATTTTTTAAATTGATTATTTATGAAAGTATAGTTCATTCTGTAATGTTAACCATATAAATCAAAGCTTCACACTTTATATAAAGTTCACAAGAATTCAAAAATTTTCATCAAAATTTCAACTTTTTCTTCGGAATCTCTAGAAAATTTTCGAGTATGCAGTTTTTAGTCCATTTAATCCATCTAATAAAGTGCAAGTTTCAACCGGCCTAAAAATCGCGTTGGTTTTTGAAATTTTTTTTGGAAACTGATTTTGCGGATTTTTTTGAAATTTTGTTGCTAACCGCCTCCCGTATTTTATTTCAAAAGAAATTCATGCTTATATGGAAAAAAGTTCAAAACTCCGTCTTCAAAAAAAAATTCTCAAAAAGCAACGTGATTTTTTGGACGTTTGAAACTTGCACTTCAATAAACCAAAATTGAATGTGATACAAAACTGCATACTAAATTTTTGTGAACTTTATATGAAGTGTGAAACTTTGATTTATATGTAATGTAAAAAATGTTTCATGAAAATAACTGTGAATATTATATTAGAGCAAAGCGTACACTTTCATTTGTCGCCTACTGTATAAAGACAGATTAGTTTTAATGGAATGATGGACAAATAATAAAGCTAAATTAATTTGAAGTGCAATCAATTTGGGGTTTGTGAACATACTTGACCACGTTCAAAATTTGTTGGGCCGAATAAAAAGTTGGAAATTTTGAGTTTAGAAATTACATTTTTATGTTTTTTGTTATATTATGAACTATATTTTTATAAAATAAAGCAAAAACAAAATTAAAATAAACAAGTAAGAAAGTCTAAGTTCGGGCGGAGCCGAACATTAAATACCCGACGCAAGTATTAAATATATGTTTTTCACCTTTCCGAAAGCTACCGCTACATGGTAAGCCAGAGTGTATTAATTTTGAGTAAATTAGCGTCCTTAAATTTCGAAATATTGAAGTCTCAAGCATTTCTGAAATTTACCGTTATATGAAAACTGCCGTAATTTTAGTCCGATTTCAATAATCTTCAACGTTTTTCTTTTATGTGGCAAGCACAATAACCATACCGAGTTTGATACAAATTGGTAGAAAGGTTACCGAGATACATATATGTGATCATAAGTGCGCGGTGCCACGCCCATTTTCCAAAATTGTATCATAAGCGTATTTTTTGGTAAAGAATTGTTGCAATCATCAATTTTGAATAAATTAGCTTTAATATTTACTGATTTATCGAAGATTTCGTATTTCTCTAAATTACCGTTATATGGGACGTGGGCGTGGTTATTGTCCGATTTTAAAAATTGTCAGCCATTTGGTATGCCGTACCAACTGTGCTAAGTTTGGAAGAAATTGGTGCAGCGGTTACCAAGATATACACATGTAACCATAAGTGGGCGTGGCTACGCCCATTTTCCAAAAATTTATAATATCCTTATTTTTCGTCTAAAAATTATTGTAAACGTCAATTTTGAGTGAATAATCTTCAGTAGTTACTAAAATATCGCAGTTTTCGTATTTCTCAAAATTACCGTTATATGGGAGGTAGGCGTGGTTATTGTCCGATTTTGCCCATTTTCACCGTCCGTCTTACGTCCGACAGAAGTGAACGTACCAAGTTTCGTTAAGATATGTCAATTTTTACTCGAGTTATCGTGTGCACAGACGGACGGACGGACATACAGTCACCGCTTAATCGATTTCTCTTTTCATTCCGATCATTTATGTATACATTTGTCACAAGTTGAAAGTTTGTGAAAACTTCTGTGTGAAAAAATATTTTTGAATCCCGTGAAATAAATTTTTGTTTGAAACTTTTTGTTTCTTTATTGAAAACTAGTAAATTAGAAAAAACCGTTTCTTTTTTATTACTGGAATTTTATATTATTTTGATACTTTCAAAACCGTTTTGGTACGTTTTTTTGGTAGGGAAAACTATGTGAGTGGCAACACTGGTCCAAATTTCAAATCAGGGATGATTATGAAGAATTGGTTCAATTGACTTTGGCATTTTTTGGGTGTAGAACCGTTTCGCTTTCGCACACCTGGTGCTACCAATAATGCCTGACGGATGTTAAAGGCGATTTATTCTTTGAAAATATTTATTTTTCGCTATCAATTCGTGCTTTCGAAAAAAGAAGTGAACGGCCTACGTGACATTTGTATATTTATAGTTAAGCTTTATATCAAATCCTGGTTTAAATGTACCAATGCCATGCTGCCCCTTCTCAAGATTTAAGTTTTGTTAAGAATATTATTAAGTA